GCTACATGTTGAGAAAGTGACGGTCATACTCTCGTCATACTTGCAGTGTCTTGCTACATTGAGACAGTGACTTCATACTCTCGCTCGATTACTGCATCTATCTTGCTACCATGTTGAGAAGTTACGTCATACTCTCGTCATATTGCAGCGTCTTGCTATATTGTTGTAGAAGTGACGTCATACTCTCTTCAGCACTTTGCAGCTGTCTTGCTACATGTTGAAAGTGAACTCAACTTTCGTCCATACTTGCAGCTGTCTGCTTACATGTGAGAATGACTTTCATACTCTCGTCTATACTCAGCTTCTTGCTAATGTTGAGAAGTGACTCATACTTCGTCATCACTTGCAGCTGTCTTGCTACATGTTGAGAAGTGACGTCATACTTTCGTCATTACTTGCAGCTGTCTGCTTACATGTTGAGAATGACGTCATACTCTCGTCATTACTTGCATTTTCTTGCTACATTGAAAGTGACGTTAACACACTTTCGTCCGTCACCTAACTTGCAGTTGTCTGCTACATGTGAGTAATGACGTCATACTTCGTCTATGACTTGTAGTGTCTGCTACATGTGCAGAGAATATCTCAACTTCTCGTCATTACTTGCAGTTCTTGCTACTTGTTGAGAAGATCGTCGACACCCGTCAACCTGTAGTTGTCTTGCTACATTAGAACATGACGTCAACTTTTCGTCCTTACTTGTAATTGTCTTGCTACATGTTGAGAATGACGTCATACTTTCTCTATTACTTCTCATTGTCTTGCGTACATGTATGAGACTAGAAGTACGTCACACTTTCGTCCTTACTTGCAGTTGTCTGCTACATGTTGAGAAGTGACGTTCACACTTTTCGTCCTTACGCGTTGTCTTGGCTACATGTTGAGAAGTGACGTCACACTTCGTTCATTACTTGTTCATTGTCTTGTTACATGTTGAGAAGTGACGTCACACTTTCGCATCAGCTTGTACTGTTAGTGACGTCATACTTTCGTCATTACTTGTAGTTGTCTTGCTACATGTTGAGAAGTGACGTCATACTTTCGTCATTACTTGCAGTTGTCTTGCTACATGTTGAGAAGTGACGTCATACTTTCGTCATTACTTGCAGTTGTCTTGCTACATGTTGAGAAAATACGTCATAGTACCTTTTCCGTCCATTACTTGCAGTTGTCTTGCTACATGTTGAGAAGTGACGTCATACTTTCGTCATTACTTGCAGTTGTCTTGCTACATGTTGAGAAGTGACGTCACACTTTCGTCATTACTTGCAGTTGTCTTGCTTACATGTTGAGAAGTGACGTCATGACTTTCGTCATTACTTTATTGTCTTGCTTACATGTGAGAAGTGACGTCACACTTTCGTCATTACTTCAGTGTCTTGCTACATGTTGTGACGTATACTTATGAGTCATGGCAAACGCTATTTAACGAAGTGCACAGCGTTTGTTAACAGTAGAGGATCCGAAGGTATATAACAAGCCAATACTTCACTTTGCTGGTGTTTATACTATCCAATTCTCTCCTGGCTTGTTATTAATTATTCTCTTATCAACAATCATAGTTATCATCATCACCTTTCTATCCATTTAAATTCTCATCAGAGGAATATAAAAGAATAGAGAAAGAAAGAAAGAAAGAGAACGTGCGATAAGAAAGTTTCTATTTTTTTTTTTTTACAAGACCGTAACTTTACCCTACAGGATCAATAAGAAGGTCAATATTATCTACGAACAGTGAGTCGGGGAACCTGTATATACACGCACACACTTAGCCCTTAGAGTGTAACTTAGGGTCAGAATGGAGGGTGTGGTGGGGTGTGAGGGACGGAGAGAAGGGATTAGGGGAAGGAGAAAGGGGAAAAGGAAGAGGGAAGAAAGAGGGAGAGAGAGGAGAGAGGGGGAGGGGGAGTGGCGTGAGGGAGAAGGGGAGAGGAGAGGAATGGAGAGAGGAGAGAGGGGGAAGAGGAGAAGAATGACCGTGAGCTAAGAGAGGAAGGGAAAATATAGAGAAGGAAGAGAAGAGGAAGAGAGTCAAGTAAGAAAACAAAGATAGGAATAGAGAAAGAAAGTGCGAGGAGGAAAGAAGCGAAGGAAGAGAGCAAAGAAAGGAGAGACAGAGAAAGAAGGGAAAAAGGAATAAAAAAAAAAAGGAATAAAAAAAACAGAAGCTGAGAAAGAAAGAAAAAAAACCCGGAAAGGAAGGTAAATAGAAGAGAAAAGAAGGGGAAAGAATGAGGGGAAGTAGCAAGAGGGGAAAGGGAAATGCCTTTGTGTTGCATGACACGTGACACTCAGTTACTGTCACGCTCATTAAGTTGGGAAACAGATGGAAGGATAAACTTAGTCAGCGTAGGAAGTTTTAGGATGGAAACTTCTTAGTTAAACACGCTACTTGTTTATTAAAATTGCTTAAGAAACAGATGGAAGGATAAACTTAGTCAACGTAGGAAGTTTTAGGATGGAGTCACACGAATACTTCTCTGTCAAACACGCTACTTGTTTATCAAAATTACTTAAGAAATCTATAAGGGAAGGAGTTTTTAGGATAGAAACTTCTCTGTCAAACACGATACTTGTTTATTAAAATTGCTTAAGAAACAGATAGAAGGATAAACTTAGTCAGCGTAGGAAGTTTTAGGACGGAAACCGCTCTGTCAAACACGATACTTGCTTATCAAAATTACTTAAGAAATCTATAAGGGAATTAATTATTTGCCTGATAATAAATGCAGGAACCAGGGACTAAATCATCATAATAGTGATAATAACAAAGTATTCATACCAAAGACTATAAAGAATAATGACTCATATTGATTTTCTGTACCCTTGTTAACGCTCGTGTATGCACACATACACGCACAAACACACACACACAGACACACACACACACAAATTCAAACACATACACACAGACACAGACACGAACACACACACAAACACACACACACAGACACACACACACACGCACACACACACACAGAGAAAGAAGAAAGAAAGAGAAAGAGATTGAGAAAAGAGAGAGAGAGAGAGAGAGAAGAGAGAGAGAGAGAGAGAGAGAGAGAGAGAGAGAGAGAGAAGAGAGAGAGAGAGAGAGAGAGAGAGAGAGAGAGAGAGAGAGAGAGAGAGAGAGAGAGAGGAGAGAGAGAGAGAGAGAGAGAGAGAGAGAGAGAGAGAAGAGAGAGAAGAGAGACGAGAGAGAGAGAGAGATAGATAGATAGAGAGAGAAGAGAGAGAAGAAAAAAACAACAACAGTATATCCATACAAAGAAAACAAAAACAAAAACAAAAAGAGAGAGTTAGCGAAGTATGTGTCTATGTTTACACGCCTCGTCGCCGGCGAGCTGAAGATAACAACTCTTTCTCGGAAGTCACGCCCACTTTCGAGGTGCTGGGGACGTGGGCGGGGTGAGGAGGGAAAGGGGGAAGAGGAGAGGAGAGGGGTGTGGGGAGGGGAAAGGGTGAGGGGGGAGAGGAGTGGGTGTGGGGAGGAGAAAGGGAGAGGGGAGGGATGGGGAGGGGTTGGGGGAGAGGGGGAGTAGTGGGTGTGGGGAGGGAGGGGGAAGGGAGGAGAAAGGAAGAGGGGAGGGGAGAGGAGTGGGTGTGGGAGGGGGTGGGGGTGCGGAGGGGGAGGGTGGAGGGAGTGGGGGTGGGGAGGAGAGGGAGAGGAGGGGATGGGTGTTGGAGGAGTGGATAAGGGGATGGGGAAGGGGAAAGGGGGGGAGGGGAGAGGAGTAGGGTGTGGGGAGGAGATGGGGAAGGGGGGATGGGGGTAAAGGAGGAGAAAGGGAATGGGAGGAGAAAGGGGAGAGGAGGGGATGGGGTTGGGGGAGTGGAGGGTGGGGGGAGGGAGGAGAAAAGGGAGAGGGGGGAGAAAGGGGGTGAGTGTTTCTTAGAAGTCTAGGAGGGAGAGGAAGGCGTAAAGAGAGGAATGGAAGGAAAAGAGGGAAGGGAAGGGGAAGAAAGGAAGAGAGGAAGGAAGGGAAGGGAAGGGGAAGAAGAAAAAGAAAGGAAAAGTAGAATGAATTAAAAAAAAAGAACGAAAGGCAAAGGGAAGAGATGGAAAAAAGAAAAGGAAAAGAAGAGAAGGGATTAGAACGAAGGGAAAAGCGAGTAGCGAGAAGAGAGTAAGAATGAAGGGAGAAGAACAGAAGAAGGGGAGAGGCGGGGACGCGAAGGGGAAGTGGGGGGCGGGGGGGGGGAGGGGAGGGGGCGAGCAGTGCATACCGATCCTGAATCAATTCGCAAGAACCACTCAAACAGAAATGTATCTTTTAAACGTAAACAGAGAAGAGAAGAAAAAAAAAAAATATCAGCAAGGTCGATGAATAAATGTGCTATTGCAAAAAATTCCTTTACTATATTAGTTGAACTTACTCATTATTGAGAAAGACTCATGACAGTTATAAAAATGCTATGACAGTCATAGTAAGGCCTATGACAGTCATAGTAAGGCCTATGACAGTCATAGAA